GAAATGTTCTCAGCACATAGATATGACAAATACTCAAGTTGCTGGATACCCCCACATACCCTGATTTGATAAGTACACATTCTACGCATACAACAAAATGTCATATGTAGCCTATAAATATGAACAAACATTACGTAGCAGATGTGAAAAACAATAACTACGTGCCATAACTATTTGACTTTCACTGAAAGTGTATAAATGTACATTAATTGATTCACCGTGTTTTTTTGCTGAGGGACCAAGGTCTCTTTGTCAGGGAGCATCCTGTGGACTGGAGTTTCACACTGCATCAGTCTGAGAGCATCTATGATACGCGGTTTTAATTTCTTGAAAGCAAAGTGAAAACTTAAAAAGCCTTTAGAAGCCATCTTGGAACATAATCTCTAGGTTTTTGTGAACATTTCCTCTAATCCTTTACAGTCCCCCCTCCCACCTGTTATTTTGCCATTTGCTTTTATTAAGTCATTCTAAATCATATAACTTAGTTTTCCGCTCTCTAGTTGCATCTCTCAGATTTCTCCAGATGACCTAATCTTTGAGTAGATTTTGTGATTTTAATAACATGCACAACAGGAATAAACAGGTTCGGGAACAAATGTAAAGGATTCATGGTAAACATACAAGGCAACTAGCAGAAGCACCGAGGCATACTAGAGAGAGCTACCAGCTCTGAGCAGTCAGCTGTGGCCTCAGGTATGAGATGTTCAAGAAGGACTGGAAAGTGTCACTCAATCCAGTGAGTGAGTTAGGGAGAAGGTAGATAGTGCTGTAGTTGAAGATGGCTGGATTGTGAGGCTGAGAGTGTGGGTAATTAGGCCAGAGGAACTGGCAAGTGCCTTTCAGGTAGGCTGCTGTATACATTATTTTAAAGCAGAAGCTCTCAGAATGTGTTCCCCAGACCAGGGGAACAACCTCACCTGGGAACTTAATACAAGTGCAAATTCTTACACCCCTCCCAGACCTCCTGAATCAGAAAATCTGGGGTGAGGCCCAGCAGTCTGTTTTAACAAGCCTTCAGAGAGATTCCGATACATGCTTAGGTTTTATAACCTCTGTGCCGAAGAGTTGAGCCCTTCTTGTAATTGATACAGAGTCATCAAATTTTAGTAATGCAGTAATCTGAGTATAATGTATGTGAGCTTTGTGGCCAATGATTTTTTTTTTAAATCTCTACTGTGACTGTTCAGAAGTCACACATGTTTTTAGTTTGTTATAGAGAGTTCATATTGCTGCATAATCAACCTTCCTGTAAGTGACACGAGGTATTCCTAAAACTCGCTTTCACGTACTTGAAAATGGCCAGTTACTTCACTCATTATCATGTATTTAGTGAGAGCTTATCAGGAGTCAGGCATGGTCACAGGTGCTTGGGATACATCACTGAAGAAAACGGACAAAAATCCCAGCCCTCTTGAAGCTGACTTGGAGATGGACAATAGACAAAATAGATAAATTAGTGTATTAGGACGTGGCAGGTGCTATGGGTCAGGAGGGAAGGAGAGACAGGAAACAGAGCAGAACTGGTGAGGATCGCCCAAGTGGTGGGAAATTACAGTTTCCAATAGGCCACGGGGCAGGGGCTCCCTGAGAAGGATATAAAGGAGGTGAGTGGGAGGTATACCAGGCAGATATTTGGGGACAGCAGATACCTGGAAGGGGGAGGAGCAGTCACAGCCCACTCACCTCGGGGGCTAAAGGGCTGGTGGGGGAGGGAAGGGGATGGAAGGTGAGGCCCTGTTTTCACCTAATTTTGTTGATAGTTGGCTAGTTGGCTTTAATATAAAACACAAATCTAAGTGGATAAGCAAGTAGCTTATAGGCATTCTGATATAAATGTGAAGTTCTGCGAGCAACATGGACTGATCTTTTCATTCATCCATGTTTTGAGCTACTGCCTAGCACAGGCCGGTAGCACCCCGAGCTGGTACAACACGGCCATTCTGCACTCCCTCCTTTCTCCTGCCATCCTGGAACTTACAGTCCAGAGGGGAAAACAATCACCAGGATGCTACTTGTTACAGAAGGGAAGGGAAGTACAATGTACTGAGGCCAGGAGCTCAGGGGCAGCCCTTGGTATCAGGGATGGCTTCCTGGAGGAAGTTATATTTCAGCCAATGCTGGAACAGGGAACGAGGATGGGTCAGAATAAGTGAAGGGAAGGGAAATCTCCAGCCCGTGTTCCATCAGCAAACTGAAAGGAGAACCAGGAGGAGGGGAGGGAGCCACAGGAGCAGGGGACAGAAGCCCAGGGCTTGAAGGCCTCTGACAACTGAGGGCAGCGGCAAAGCATGGAAGGATTTTTAAGTAGGTGACTGACAACTAGTTGGCAGGTTTTTAAACCTCATGTATCTTACACTGAAAACGATTATAGAAAATTCACAGGCTTCAGTGTCATCAAATTCTTATTGAACATGTACATGACATGTTCTACAGGACTGGGAAAGTGGCCAATATTTCCTGTGTTTAGTCTGTAAATAGCTGAATCATACACACCTTTGGATAATTAAAACAGCTGTGCTAAGTATCAGTGCTGCAGACTGACAACGGCCGACTACGTGGATTGTGAAGCCTCAGCCTCTTTTGCAGCCCACGTAGAAATACACGTGCTGACCTGAGCAGGCATAAAGCAACACAGCCACACCTTTTAGAAGTAGGATGGGGAGATAAAGGCCTCACATCACTCATTAATAAACCCACGTTAATAAAGAAATGCTCACCAAATCCACTGATTGTGCCTAGAAGAGAGAGACTAAAGAACAGATGTGTTGGCATGACGGGTAAGCACACACTACATTCATCAATCAAACTCTTTGGCCTATTTAATTCGGGTATGTGCTAAGAGAACGTGCCATCAAAGAAGAGAAACAAAAGACCTAATAAATTAATACGGGACTCCCCACAACATTTAAACATAAGGTCAGTAGTAAAAACAGAATATAAAAGAAAAGAGGCAAAACCTCCAGGGATAGCAGAACTTAGTGGCCACATGCTTATTTACCCACGTTTCACTGTGTATCAACGCAGATCCACTAATTCACATATAGCTCTCAGTAAAGCATCAACTTCTTTTTTTTTTTTTTTTTTGGTGCTGTCTGATTCTCTAAGAACCTGATGAGCTTCTTTGAGAGAGAAGTAGCAGCCCAATCTAGCTCAGCTGTACTCAATCTGAGTTGCTTTCCTACCTACAAACCCTCACTTCAAAGCAAGGAACATAATGTACAATTTTTTAATGGCTCTAGACCCAGGCACTCAGACTCTCTGCTCTGCGCCTTACCTCAGTGTAAACACCTAATCAAGATTGCCTGCGCTTCAACAATAGCAGCCAAATGCAATTCGAGAACCACAAGCCTTTGAAGTCCTCCCTGCAAAGGCCGGTTTTCTAGTCTGGGATAATGACATGCCATGATTGCTGTCTTTGTTGTATCTTTTCAGTAGAGAAGCAATTATAGGCCCCAATTTAACAGAATAGACATTACACAGCTTATGATGCTCAAAATGCAATTTCATTTGATCATTTTCTCAATTTGATTGGTATTAATAGAATAGTTCACAAAAAAAAAAAAAATAGCTGGCAGAGGTTGCGTCCCATTCCACTTTCAAAGAGATAATGTAGAAGTATGCTTTACTGGCCCAGAGACTCTCACAGGCATGATTCAGCCTCTGAGTTCCACCAACACAGCCAGTAGAGGGAAATACTGTACCTTCTATGCTCTCTGGGAAAGGAAGCATGAGATGCTATCTTTTTATGTATGTTATCTTTTATGTATGTGTGCATGTATGTATGTGTGTATTGAGGCAGAATCCCGCTTTGTTGCCCCAGGCTAGAGTGCTGTGGCATCAGCTCACAGAAACCTCAGACTCCTGGGTTCAAGTGATTCTCCTGTGTCAGCCTCCTGACTAGCTGGGACTACAGGCATCTGCTATAATGCCTGGCTAGTTTTTCTATCTTTTCAATCGGGACATCCCTAAAGCAGGGGACAGGCTCACAGACATGTTCTTGTGGCACTTCTCAAGGCGATTGTGTTTGTGGATGTGGTGGAGATAGTGAAAGATGACTGGCTGCTTTTGGTAGGCTCACCCAGTCTGAATGTCCACCGTCTTTCTGGCCACCTGAAAAAAGGGGCACGTCAGTATTTTTTAAAAGCTTTCTAGGTTTTCCTAATATCTAGCTAAAAGGAAGAAGCATTGCTCTACATCATTTAAATTTACCGAGTATCAAACTACAAACTCCGCAGATCCAGAATGATATTTGGAGTAAGTGAATTAGCATAGCAGAATTGTTAAATGTGCAGGTTCTGGAATGAGACTGGCTCTTCCACTTAGTAGCTGATGGTCCAAAGCAAATTACTTAACCTCTCTGTACCTTCATTATCTCATTTGCAAAAAGGGGATAATAATACATACATACTTCAGAAGGCTATTGTGAAGATTAACTGGTAAATTATACACTAGGAGCTGAGGACTGCTACCAGCATGCCATGAGCATCAAGTGTCTAATAAATATTGTGATTTCTGTTGTTGTTGTCATCATCTTGGAGTATAGTGCTATTTTGTGGCATTTCTATTGGCGTGATCAAACATTACTTGCACCATCTGGTTTATGTACCTATTCTAAAATCAAGACCCCTGAGTATGTATTGAGTATTTAAACTAAGTAGTTTGACCTCAAAGTCCTGCTTCTCCCTTCAGGCCTGCAAGAGAAAACATTTGGAGTGGTCCTCCTTTCTTACTTCTCTGAAGCTGTGTTTCCAGCTTATTTTATTATTTTTATTATTACTTTAACCACTGTGCAGGGTTTTAACTGTTTGCTCGTTCCCATTTTCCTTGGGAACAATCCAGGTCCTTGAGGACTGACGAGATGAACCCTTGAAATTAACTGAAAATTCAACTAAAACCCAGCCCTGCAGGGCCTCTGTCTAGAGTGCACGGATCTGAGTGGCATGGCTTTATGACTATCAGATGAATTCACTTAACATGCTGTATGTGTTTTACCCACCCAGATCTCCTACCCCATCAGAGTAACTGACCAGACGCCCATTCAGAATGCCAACGAGATTGAAAATGCTGCCATCGATCCTGAAGACAAATGGCATCAAAGAGCACAGCAGCTAAAGGTTACCTGCTAGATTGCATTTTAAGTGTGTTTCCAGTGATACTGCTGGATACAAGTGATGCTTGGGGGACCGAGTTCTTATCACTTAAGGGTTCATTTTTATGCCTGAGAGTAGAGACCCACCTTCCTATGAGTGAGACTGGCTTCTGCCCAGGGGAAGAAGGTCAGCTAACCAGTCCTACCTCTTCTTCCAAAGGTTCTGTCACATAGAAGAAAATCATATCTTGCCTTAAACATATAAAGTTAAAATCCCTCACAGAGGGAACGGATGAGGGAAAATGCAGGAAAAAGTCATAGTTCCAAAGTATTATTCAATTCTGTGCTGCCTCTCGAGTCTGTTTCCGGAGTCAGCAGTTACGTATGATGCTTGGGTGAAGGGAAGACTATCCCTGAAAATGGGTGAGAATCCTCAGAGCCTCACTCAACAATCATTCTTAGAATGTGAATGCTTACCAGGTAGTCATTTAACATGGCAACCACCCTTTTTGCCATGGATTTACTACTTTGAAATCATAAACCTGATTTCAGGAAAGCTTTCTCTGAAATTGTCACCACTGACTGTTTTTCTGGAAGAAACAGAAAAACACCAGCAGTGGATTTTTTCTTGAACTGGTGTATGCATTTATGGGGAGTCACTCCTGGACCAGGTTTGATCCTTACTTAGGAAGGGATGAGACCTTTGATATTACCAAGCCCATAGAGCCTGCTGACATTATCAGATAAAACCCTGTACAGTGGTTAAAGTAATAATAAAAATAACAAAGTTTATTCCCGCTTCAGAGAAGGCAGAAAGGAGGACCACTCCAAATTATTTCTCTTTCTGCCCAGCGGCCTGCAGACTTCTCTTAAGAGATGTGAAAAAAAAAGAAAAACATGGTGGCACTTGTGGCTCAAAGGAGTAGGGCGCCGGCTCCATATACCGGAGGTGGTGGGTTCAAACCCAGCCCTGGCCAAAATAAAAAACTGAAAAAAAGAAAAACAGAAATTCACCCAGAGTTTCCTGAAAGTTGATGGGACAGGAAGGGGGCAGAAAGGGGGGGTTGCAACCCAGGAATTAAGAAGAAAAGGACTGAAAGTTCTCATGCAGTGGGACACAGAGAACAGACAGGGCCACACCCAGCCCTGATAGAGAGCCCAGGAGAGCTGGCCAACAGGATCTGGAGGGCAAAGGAAATATTTACAGGCTTATCCTGCTTTATGGCGATGGGCTGTCAGAAGACATGAATTTCTGGGTCTCCACCTGCTGTTTACCTGATGTGTGACCTGGGGCGGATCTCCGCTTTCTCCAAGCTTTATGTTTCTTCTTTATTAAATGAAGGATTGGTCTAAATGATCCATCGCAGCTGCAAAAGGGTATAATTCTAAGACAGCTCATTTCTAGTTATTTAAACTATTATAGAAAACACATTTGAAACGTGTAAGATTATTGCCGACTCAGAGCTTCCCTAATTGTCACCAAGGAAAAATTATAAGATTCTCAGCCAGGGATCAGATAATAAAGGTAACATCCCCAGGCTTGATTCGTGGCATGACCCTAGACACAGGCAGTGAAAAGCCTTTTATGGAAGTAGATCATGAGAAACCCAAAAGAATGCTTCTCATCCTCTGTGGGAAGCGTAATTAATGTGCTTATAGCCACTCCTGAATAAAGACAGAGTGAAGCAAAACAGCTAAAGATTGTTAGGCCGAACTTGACAGCCACGAAGGACGGCCCCAGGGATGTTCCTCTTTCCTTCCTTAGAAAGGATGTGTGGACGGCCCCTGGCTTGCCCCCCAAACACTTCCGGCGGCCTTTCTTTTTCCTCTTCAACTACCCAAGTTCCATATCCTTCTTTTTGGTCTCTTCTCAAGTGCCACCTACTGCAGGAAGATTTCCCAGCCTCTCCCAACCTCTCCCCTGCCCCTCTCTCAGCTCCTGTTGTCTGGACCCCGCACTCAGGGCCTATCTCCGGGGTTGCTGCCTCTGTTTCTCTCGTACACACCACACTGTAATCCCAGGAAGGGGCATCATATGTTCAGCTCCTTTAGTTTCAACTTCAAAGGTTCAGAAAAAAATGAAATACCAAAATTATAAGTAATAATAGTGTGAACTATATATACACATGTAGTTTACGCATATATATTACATGGATTTGTGTGTTTATGTGTAGAATGAAAGAGAGATAAGTTTGGTGAACCTAATTAAAGATCTTTGAGAGTTCTCTGTACTAGCAATTTTTCTTTCCTTTTCTTTTCTTTTTGAGACAGAGTCTCAAACTGTCACCCTGGGTAGAGTGCTGTGGCATTACAGCTCACAGCAACCTCAGACTCTTGGGCTTAAGTGATTCTCCTGCCTCAGCCTCCCAAGTAGCTGCGACTACAGGCGCCCACCATAATGCCTGGCTATTTTTTGGTTGCATTTGTCATTGGTGCTTGGCCAGGTTCAAACCCACCACCCTAGGTGTATGTGGCTGGTGCCCTGCCGACTGAGCTACAGGCGCCTCCTATACTAGCAATTTTTCTATAAGCTGGAAATAAATTAAAAATAAAAAGGTAAAGGAAAATTGGATTTAGCCATTAAGAGGTTATTGATGCACAGAGCAGCTTCAGTGGGGTGAGGAGAGTGAGTTTGAAGGCTGGGTGTGGAGGTCAGAATGAGAGATGGCCAGTCAGGACCAGTGCAGCCTATGCTAGCAAGATACTTGGCTGTGAATTAAAAGACAGGTAGGGTTTAACCAGAGAATGGCAACAAATGAGGTTTCCTTCAATTTTTTTTCCATAGGAGAGACTTAAATATATTTATATGCTAGAAAGAATAAGAAACTAGAGCTGGGGTGAGGAAAGAGAGAAGATATGCCTGAGGTTTAAGCCTATTTCTCTTCACTTTAAAAATACTATGAATGGACGGTCATCATTTTCTATGTAAGAATCTTATACGTGCCTGGGATCTTTGCTTCAAGTCAGGAATCACTCTTGATTTAGCCTTTTCATGTAGGTCTCACTGTCCTGAATCATTTCATATTCTCCTGTGAATCTTGGTAGGTTTTTCCAATCCCACTGCAGGTGTGTTCCCAGGACTGTTTCTGGGCAGCTGGGGGGAGCGCACTGCCAAACGCATAAAATCCTTCCCAGGTATCTTAGTCCATTAGGCTGATGTAACAAAATGCCATAGGACTGAGTGGCTTATAAAGAATGGAAATTTGTTTCCTTGCAAGTTCTGGAGGCTGCGAAGTCTAAGGTCAAAATACCAGCAAATTGGGTGGCGCCTGTGGCTCAAAGGAGTAGGACACCGGTCCCGTATGCCAGAGGTGGCAGGTTTAAACCCAGCCCCAGCCAAAAACTGCAAAAAAAAAAAAAAAAAAAACCAGCAAATTCAGTGTCTGGTGAGGGCTGGCTTCCTGGTTCAGACGGTGCCTTCTCGCTGTGTCTTCTTGGGGTGGGAAGGGCGAAAGAACTCCCTTGGGCACTAGTATAAGGACCCTAATCCCATTCCAGAGGGCTGTGCCCTTCTGATCTAATCACCTCCCCAAATGCCCTGCCTTTAAATACCTGTCATCTTGGGGATTAGAACTTAACATACGAATTTGAGGAGCAAATATTCAAACGAAAGCAGCAGACAAGGAACACATTGTTAGTAGAAAAAAAGAGAAAGTTCCGCCATTACCTAAGCCTTCAAAAGAAAAAAATAGGATGTTTTCTTTCTTGCCCCTCTAAAATAATTCATGACTTTCCAGACAAGAAAAAGGTACTGATAGCATCAAAGGTACGTAAGACCTTTCACTACTTAACATGCAAGTCCTTACAATCACGTCCTAAGCAATCTTCCCACCTTCCCACTTTGGTTTTGCCTCCAACAATATCACTTGATCTGTGCTTCTTTTATTACCTGAACACAGAGCTCTTCCCTCCCGATGGAAATCAGAGCCAATGAATGGCTGTGCGCAAAATTGTCTCGCTATTACCAGGTGGAATCGATAACCCAAGTTCAAAGTACCCAAGTACCCAAGTACAAAGTTTTATTATTCACAAACACACAGGAAAAGCAGAATGCGAGAGAAGCTTCTCGACATCAGAGCTCATCTTGCTGCCCAGGCACAACTCTCAGGACTCCGTGGTTGAGTGGGGTTAACTAAGGACAAGAGTGACTTTTGTGTTAAAGCAGATGAACTTTTGGGTTGAGGTCATAGCATGCATTCCCCTTTCTGCTTGTGACATATGGACAAGAGAAGCAGCCAGGCACTGCCTTTCACAGGGTTGGGGCAAACTCCCCTTGGATGGGTCAGTATGGAGTCCCCCATGCTAATGCTGAGTGTGCCGTGAAGACCTACCGCCATGAAGCAGTTATTCCGAGTGCCTGTAGTCTGTACTGACTACCAGCATTGGCGACAAAAGAACCCCAGTGAGAACAGGAGGGAATAGAGGATTTCAGTGCTGATGGAGATTAAATCGCCCGAGAATGGCTTTGTATATTAACTTCAGGGAACTCAGGTCTTGCCACCTAAAGAGTGACACCTGATGTCCAATTGTAGGGTAGTAAATCTTCAGTAAACCACAGATCTCAAGTAGGCTCCTCGGAAGGTGAGAAAAATCACATCAAGCCCATAAATGCCTTCCTTTCTGGGGACTGAAATGCCATCTCTGGGCACTTAGATCTATGTGAATAGCGGATTTAACACTTGAGACAATTGAAGTTTCATAAAATGATGAGTCCTTGGCCTTGTTGACAAAGCCCCCTGTGAAGAGTACCACTGTGATCTGAATTGTCAGTAGCAAAGGGAATAACGTGATTAAAATCAAGTGGTCGCCTGGAATTTCAGGGCTGGTACCCAAGAAAAGAAAAACCACTTTTTTGGTGAGAATGAGGAGAGAAAACTGGGCAAAGTACATTCAGATGGCAGCAGAAAGAGAGTTCCTGGTCCCTTATTTCTTTAGCATGTTAGAGGCTGAACAAATATTGGGAAGAAATGACATTATCAGTATTAATTAGTATTTAGAGATCATAGTAAAGAGAAGTTTCCTTGACCTTCATGAACAGGCCTATAAAACAGCCCCATCATACAAAAACAGCTGTTGTGTTTCACGAACACAACTCTGATTGTAAGACAGAAAATTTTTCCAGATTCACTGTAAGGAAGGACTCTTCTGGGGCTAGGTATCTGCAGAGACTTCTTATTCCTACTTCCCCAAGCATCTCAATACCCTGCATGGAAGGAAGACCTCTTCTTACCTGGAATACAGAAAAGAAAGTTTTTCTTTTTTTTTTTAAAGAGCACCACAGGTAAATATTTAAAATATATAGAAGCTGGCTCGGCGCCTGTAGCTCAAGCAGCTGGGATGCCAGCTACATACACCAAAGCTGGTGGGTTCAAATCCAGCCTGGGCCTGCTAAACAGCAATGACAGCTACAACCAAAAAATAGCCAGGTGTTGTGGCAGGCGCCTGTAGTCCCAGCTACTTGGGAGACTGAGGCAAGAGAATTACTTAAATCCAAGAGTTTGAGGTTGCTGTGAGCTGTGACACCAGGGCACTCTACCCAGGGCAACAGCTTGAGACTCTGTCTAATAAATAAATAAATAAATAAATAAAGTATATAGAAGCTAATCATAGCCTGGCCAATCCTGCCAAAAGTGCCAATTCCCAGGAGAACATGCTCCAAATTTTAAACTAGAAGTAATTTGGGGCTGAGCACGGCAGCTGTAACCCCAGCACTTTGGGAGGCTGAGAAGGAAGGATCACTTGTAATCAGGAGTTTAAGACCAGCCTGAGCAACAGAATGATACCCTGTCTCTACAAAAATTATCTTGGTGTGGTGGTACACGACCATAGTCCCAGCTACTTGGGAGGCTGAGGCAGGAGGATCACTTGAGCCCAGGAGTTTGAGGTTGCAGTGAGACATAACATCACTGCACTGTAGCCCAGGTGATTGAGTGAGATGACCTTGTCTCAAAACAAACAAACAAACAAAAAGTCATTGTCTTAAAAATGTAATATAAAAAGTAACATTCTGTATTACATTTTTAAATTTAATAATCTCTCAACTTTATCATTACAATGTGATTTCACTGGAAATAGACCAGCACTTAATATTATAGAGGAATAGAATGGATCTAGTGATTGTGTCAGGAAAGCGAAACAAAACCGAACTCTTACCACAATAATTTGATCGGTCCTCATAGCAAGTTAAAAAAAACATTTTGAATACAACATGGTTTGCTCACTTCGAAATTTTTTTTCCTTGAATTATCCAGCTAATGGTTGCATTTTCAGATTAATGTTGCATAGATACAGGCTATAGAGATTTTTTTTTTTAACATGGGCTCAGAAAGGGAGAAGTGTGTCCCAGTTATATAACACACTGATGCATATTGTCATCTGTTTTCAATAAGCATTTAATCATTCTTTCCAAAGGCCTCTTAACTCAGCTAGATTTTTACAAAGTAATGAGTGCTTTATTCCTCGGAAAATATTTCTAATGGGTATAGGACAATATCGTTACATAGTGTATCTATTATAGCAGGAGTACATTTTGTTGTTAGGAGACTTGGCAAAGCATAAAGACTGTTCTGAAATTGAAATATTTCCCCCAGATGTTTGATTGCCTAAGTGCAGGCTATATTAAGGAGCAGAAACAAAACAACCTTTGTGGTTTCACAGCCGTCCTATCACAGCACAAACTCTTTTATAACCACTCTGAATACAAATGTAATTTGTTTCATCTAGTGAAGAGGCCATGTCTAGCTTCTGACTTCTATGAGTAAGTTCTGATCATCAATCTGATCATTGTATTACATATTAAACTTGTATTTGGTTGGCAAAGCAAGTCCTTGGTGTTCTCTGGTTAAGATTTTTAAATATTCGCTTTAGTTAAAATAAGCTTGCATCTCTGGATGTTGATTTGAATTTGCACTTTCTGCGCCTCTCTTTAGAGGTAAAGCTTCTGCATCCCCCCCTCACCCCATCCCACACCCATCCCTACAATTTGACAACACTTCACTTTTCAGTCAAAAAACAACCTTTACGACTTAAACTTTTAAGTTAAAAGACTTGCCTTTAGTAGAAAGCCCATTCTAAGCTCTCTATTTCTTTCTAGGTTTATAATCCTAAATTTCCAGCAGGAATCACTCAGCTATTCACCCTCCAAATGCCTGAAATTAGGGAAGAACCCGCTGTAATCTTTCTTTATCTGCTTTCAGTTTTTGTGGTCACCTCCCTAAACGTCACAACCCTCGGTCTGAATAATACTAATTTAAAATCTGTGCTGAGTGTCAATCTTCTGATCTCATATTAACCAAAACTCTCTTTTTAGGATTATCAGGAACATTGGTCTCAATACGAAAGTACCCAATCAAGCAGTGTACCAAGAAATCCATCTTCTGAAACAGCTAGGGGCCAGCAACCTTCCAGAAAACCAGCCAAGCCCAAGAAGAGAAAACAGCATAAACACCAGAATGGCCCAAAGTCCTTCATGACTGAAGAGGTGGTTGTCAGTTCAGGAAATCAGGATAACTCTCCCAGACAACAACAAAATCGAAATAAGCCTATTGATACTTCAATAAAGCACGAATCAACTGTGACCGTGAATGCCTCGGAGAGTGAGGTACAAGACTCAAGTGTACTCAGGAGCCAGAATCCCCAGGTAACCTCCAATCCATTTGCTCTACCAAAACAGGCTTTTGACAAGGTATTCTATAAAAACTCTACTGGATATTACTCAGGGCTGAATGTCCACAGAGAAAGAGGACGCAAAGATCAAGAAGAGAAAAGACTTTTATATCAGCAGCCATGCACCAGCACTCTTTCCAATATGGACTTGAACAACCTTAATGAACTTTCTAAGAGACAAGTGCTGCTCCTGGGGCCGAAAAGCTCTCAGTCTGCCTATAACACAAATGTCCATGGACCCACTGAAAACAAGAAAAAAGTCCAACAGCCTTATACAGAGACAAAATATAAGAACTTAGAAATGTTATGGTAAGAAATCCCTTTTCTCAAGTAGTTTTGTTGTTGTGGTTGTAGTATTTGGCCAGGGCTGGGTTTGAACCCACCATGTCTGGTCACAGGGCCACATCATATGGGGCCAGTGCCCTACTCCCTGAGCCACAGGCACCACCCTTTTCTCAAGCAGTTTTCCAGAGGAGAAAGGAGATGCTGCTGGAGAAAGACCAGAGAGGGAGGAAGGGGAAGGGGGGCTTGTCAGGGTGGCCAAGTCCTCGACTCCGGTTCCTGCCGAAAGCAGTCCAATTTCAAAGTATTTATTTTCCTCTTCTCTGCCCGTCTACTTTTTTCACCTGTAGTTAAGCTAGAAGTTGGAGGGGGTGGGGGAGAAAGACAGAGGAACCCGGTCCAAAAAAACCTCAGTGTGTTTCGAGGGTTGCAAGTAATGTTGTAAGGAAATAAAGGCTCTCTGACACTGTGCCGGCCGATCCCAAGAAAATAGTCTAAAATACAGAAAAAATTACATCCCTATAGAAACGACCGCAAAATCCAACAATAGGGAAATGGTTAGATAAGTTATGATATTTAGTATCTTGTAGTCATTCAAAATTATGGTTATGAGTAACTTATTCTATAAAAAGGAAATATAAGGTATCGAGTGAAGGCGTTTGAGCTCTACTGTGGTTAAATGTGCCCACAAGAAGGAAAAATCACCAAAACTGCAGTCCTTAGATCCAAGATTTCCTCAAAGAGGTGGGGCATGGTGGGTCACACCTGTAATCCTAGCATTCTGGGAGGCCCAGGTAGGTGGATCTCCTGAGCTCAGGAATTCGAGACCTGCCTGAGTAAGAATGAGACCCTGTCTCTACTAAAAATAGAAAAAACTAGCCGAGCATCATGGCGGGCACCTGTAGTCCCAGCTAATTGAGGCTGAGGCAAGAGGAGCTCTTGAGCCCAAGAAATTAAAGTTGCTGTGAGCTATAATGATGCCACGGCATTTTACCCAGGACAACTGAGTGAGACTCTATCTCAAAAAAAAGAACAAAATCCATAGCTTCAGGTAATCCCAAATCTACGTTGGTTTAAATTAACTTTTTGTTTTTGGTCCTTGGAGATTCCTGCCACTCTTAGAAATTCAACTATGTATTTTCAGGATATTTGTTTGCTTTAATTCAACATCTGTAGGTATTTTGTAGACATTTTAGAAGGTCTTTGGTTTTCAAAATGGTGTTTTTCCTATGCTGAATGCACCATATTAAAGTTCAAACTAACAGCTAGAATGTCCTAAAGAAAGAAAAGAGAAAGATACGAAGATAAATAAGAAATTAATGTATTCATGAAAAGGTTAAGCTAAAGGCTATTCATATGATTTGGGGGTGATAACTACATTAAATCAATGGTTCGCAAAGACTTTTATGCTAGAGATCTTACGTGTCCAAGTTTTATTAATAGATTTTTCTGGGTTTTTTTTTTTTTTTCCATTAAGGAAATTCCACTCTTCCTCTGACAGCCAGCCTGTCAGGGCCTCTCCAGACTCAAGGCTCACTCAGATCATGGAGCAGCACCAGCAGGCCCTAATCCAGCTGACTGAGGTGCAGCCGGGTGAAGAGGCCTCATCCAGCGTCACCCTTCCACCCATACTGTCAAGGGTAGAAAGCGAATCCCAGCTCAGGTCGGTGAGAAGCCAAAGAAAACAAATGAAAATCGGCCGTAGCAATTCTGAAAGTTACCTGTTCCAACTGGATAAAGGGAAAAAACATAGGAGAAGAAGCAGTGTTAAGGTAATTAAAGCATCATTGTCTCATGTAACCTTTAAATTTCGGGAAGACCAATGGGCCTTGGTTTTGCTTCCCCTGAGTACAGTCCTGGAATAGGGATGGTCATCAGCAAGATGCTGCCACATGGTGGCCCTTCCCTCCAGCCTGTGCTGCTCCCTGGCTTTCCCTCCCCTTCTTTCTAGAAGTTGTTGCTGCCAGGATTTCCATTCCACCCTCCTTTTTGAGTCATCTCAGGGGAGGGCTACATTTACAGACAGACAACGATCCTCCTTCAGTGAAACTTCCGCACCCCACCCCAATCCCTACTCTAGCCTGAGTCTCCCCAGGTTCATTCTCAGATCTGAAATATGAGAACATAGGGTCGAGTGAGTGACTCCCCGGCAGGAGGGTGAGGGAGGCAGAACTGGGCACAGGGAGAGGTGGACAGATGCGGCAGGAGCCTCCGCCAAGGCACAGAGGAATGCAAAAGAGAACACATTTCTTAACCTGTAGACAAACAGACCGCCGAGAGGATGGTGGAGAGTTGGCAAAGAAGAAAGACGGAGAGAGCATTTCAGACAGGGGGACCAGCGTGAACAAAGGTTCTGAAGCTGTGACATGACCCCTGCTAAAGACATGGAAAGTTGAGAGGTGTGAGCAGAGAGGTAGGGAGGGACTGGGTCTTAAAAGATCTTGTTCTCCATTCAAAGAAGAAGGACTTTATAAGCCAGAAGGGAACCACTGGGGAAGTCTGAACATGGTCAGATTTGTACTATCTGGCTGTGGTGTTGGGAGCAAGATATCCAAGTAAACAGGACTGTGAAGTCAGAGGACCCTCCCATGGGGCCTTTAGAGAAAAAAAAAGAAAAGCAGGGGACTAAGATACTATTAGATTCTTGTTTCATAAATCAAATTTTGTAAACTAGACCAGGAAACTGGGCAGCACACACATTATTATTGTATAGGGGCATGTCTTCAGAACTTTGGAACCAACACATGGTCAAGGTTGAGGACAGCCCGTTTACTCTGGAGTTTATAGATTGCCACAGCCTAAGAGTGAGCTCAAGCCTTTATGTCATTTTCTTAGTTATTGTGTTAAGACATTTATATTCTACTTTTAAAAAGATTCACTTGTACCCTTGAAAGATAAAACCATAGAGGTGATCCCTCCAATCACCCTTCCTCCACCCATCCACCTCCCTCTTCTCCCCTCCCCCTCCCCATAGTCTTAGGCTATAATTAGGTTATAGCTTTCATATGAAAGCTATAAATTAGTTTCATAGTAGGGCTGAGTACATTGGATACTTTTTCTTCCATTCTTGTGATACTTTGCTAAGAAGAACATTTTCCAGCTCCATCCATGTAAACATAAAGAGGTAAAGGCTCCATCTTTCTTTGTGGCTGCATACTATTCCATGGTATACATATACCACGCAACCTTTTAAACTCAACTCTCAGTCAGCAGAGTTTAGTGGCGGTCAGGGACTCAGTCACTCCTAGGTTCTCACCTCAGCACTGTCACCCGGTATCTCTGTGACTTGGGCAAGTTATTAATGCACCTGAGCCCGCATTTCCTCATAGGCACAATTAAAATTATTCTTTCCCTTTGCTGATTTCAGGTGATGTCAAATGAAACAGGTACTAAAACCTTACCTTAGTCCCTAGCGCAGAATACACTTCAACTAACCGTGTTTCTTTCCCATCTTCCTCCTTTTAGTAATTTGAATTTGTGTTTTACTGAGAAAAGTGAAGTACCCCAACAATAGTTTGTACCACCAGAAATCTGAAAGCACAGGAGGGTGGGGAAGAGGAAGGAGAATTTCCAGTTATTGCATCCCTGACCCTCTTTCCCACTGGGAAAATCCATCCGCTCCTGGTTTCCATCAGCGATGTTGCAATGCCTATGTGTCCACTGTCTCAGTCCAGCTGCTTCAGCCTCCATCTGACAAACACACAGAAGCACCCTTTGTCCTGTAAGCTATTCCAGAAGGTAAAATGAGCTATTTGTATAGGACAGCAGGTAGCCGGGGCACCAGACAGAGGGAATCATTATCCAGGTCATGCCCATTTGCTAGTCCCATCAAATCTCGCAGTTTCCAAGGGAATCGCCCTGAATCACATTAAAAATTTGAGGATTTGTTAAGATAATAGGCCCAAGTACCCTTCCTCTTCTCCTGGCAGTTTGGTTGTGACCGATTTATGAATACTAGGCATTGTCCATGCCATTTAAATCCAGACATCAGACAGTAGGAGATTAACATAGTGCGAAGGATGACAAAGGTATAAAAGCATCTGTTGCAACCCAGCACAAAATAACTGCTTAAGGGGCTCTGACAGCTGACCGTAGTGGGCTGGAGTAATTAACTCACGTGTCTGTTGTCACAGACAATCCGGCCGTTGCTGCCTGGCTGCCTCTAAGAAGAGGTTTATTTGGATTAAGTTTAGCAACTGCGGAGCAAATTTCCTTCGCTCGCTGTTCCCCCGCATCTCAGGCATTGTTTCTTGTCCCGTTTTTCACCAACTTTCTCACACTTACACATCTGAGGAATTTTCTGGAGAATAGCTCTGCAGTGTCCCCCCCCCGGCAGGCCAGTCCTCATAGAACAGTCAACGTCATTTCCAAGTTGGGCACACTGCGTCCCAACTTTATGATTAAAAATCTCTCCTGGCTTGAGAAGAATTGTGATTGACGATCTACTACTGGTATAAACCTTCCACAGGGCAAGTCCAGCCACGCCATCATCTGCTAAAGCTGTCGACTGTGAACCCCCGTGCAGAGGGGCTGGGCTGGTCCTAACACTCCTGAGACAGTGCCAAGGTCTGTCCATTTGTGTGTATCTTGTGCAAACACTAGCAGCTAATCCCATCAGGGATGTGTTGAGTGCACACAATTTGTTCCAAGACTATCATTGTTGATGTATGTTCTTTTTTTTCCTTTTTGGCATCAAGCTGCTATGACATTTTAATTTTGTAACAGCCGAAGAGTAGTTAATCAAAGTAAATTCTGGGGATTTAAAGAGACAGAAAGTAAATTAAGGATTTTCCAGGGCTGGAGGTGGAGGTGGGGGAAAGGGAGTGACTGCTAATAGGTCCAGAGGTTCTTTTGACAGTGATGAAATTGTTCTACAATTGAGTTATGGTGATGTTCCCACAATTCAGCAACTGTACTAAGAACCATTGAGTTGTACAACTTAAAGTGGATGCATTTTGTGGAATGTAAGTCGGATCTTAATAAAGCCGTGACAAAGACTTCTGATGGAGAGAGATCAAACAAAATCTCAGCGCTGAGAACAAATCAAGATTACTTGCACCCAACTGAAATGGAGCTAGGAGTTTTCATTGCCAGTCACCCAGAACAAACCCCGTTTGGAGCCATCACGATCCCTTGAGAAATGTCCCTTTGCTATAAGCACTTCATCCTATAAAGGGATCAACAGCGTTTGGAGTTGGCCCCTGTGGGCCACAGTCTTGCCCCTTTGGGTCAGTATGGGATGCCAGACTCTCAGCTCTGCTCTGTGATGGCCAAGATGTCTCTTGGAGGGGACTGTAAAGAGCCGTGGCCAGAGGGGAGCAGGCAATTATACCTCCCTCCCAATGTGTCTATTGTGAGTCAGTGGAATGATTAAAAGTTAAGCTGCTTCAAACCAAAGATGTGATTTGCGGGCACTGATCATTTCTTTCTCATCATCCTTGAACAAATTGGATTTATGGCTCGGATATGGAGGGGATCCTTCCTTTTCATTATTGGTTTTCTTTGGCAAATAGTAATTCGGTGATTACCCTACGACGGCACACATGAAAGAAAGAGTAAATTTGCTGTTGCAAAGTGTTAAGTCATCTGAGTTCACTCACCTATTAACTGCAAAGGTTTTAAAGTGTGATAATACCCAGTGTAATCAAGGTTTGGGCAAAAAGAGCAATCTTATTGCTCCATTACTAATGCAAGTGTTAACCGCTGGCCTTAAAGATGTTCATCTTGTCTGAGTAATTCTACTGCTATTATCTTATCTCAGAAATAATCAGAGTGGTCCACAAACAATGCTCTCCATAGGATATCTTAAACGTTCAACCTTTAGAGGATTAGCACCACAATCCAGCTATAACTAGATGACAGGACGTTATGCATAAAAAACACATTTTTGAAAACCATTGAGTGATAGGGGAATACAGTGGAATGTTAAAGTGCTTAGTGAAAAAAATAATTTATAGCATACAAACTTTACAAAACAACTTTGTAACAACTTTACGACTTTAGACAACTTTATAAAACTGAACAGACAGCAAAAATGAATGGGAAGAAGGTATAATGGTCTTGCTGGGTGGTGACTTCTGTTTCCTTAAAGGAGATTTGTGATTTTGAAATGCCTTCTTGTTGTTGTTGTTGTTGTTGTTGCACTTTTTGGCCAGGGCTGGGTTTGAACCCACCACCTCTGGCATATGGGGCCAGTGCCCTACTTCTTGAGCCACAGATGCCAACCTTGAAATCCCCTTCAATAAATAATATACCTTCCATATGCTTTAATGTTACTAATTACTTAATGATTTTTTAGTTCAAAGACTTCCTTAAGAAAGAATCTCCTCTCACATTTTAGAATTAGATGAACTGAAAGAATTTTAGCCATAAATATTCAACATTCTAATGGAGCAAATTCTATTAAAATAGAATTTTTTTTTTGACACAGAGTCTCACTATGTCACCCTCAGTAGAGTGCTGTAGCATCACAGCTCACAGCAACCTCAAACTCTTGGGCTTAAGTGATTCTCTTGCCTCAGCCTCCCAAGTAGCTGGGACTATAGGCACCTGCCACAATGCCTGGCTATTTTTTGGTTGTAGTTGTCATTTTTGTTTGGCAGGCCCAGGCTGGATTTGAGCCTGCCACCTCCAGTATATGTGGCTGGCACCCTAGCCACTGAGCTACAGGAGCTGAGCCTGTTAAAATAGAATTTTTGAGGGCGGCGCCTGTGGCTCAAAGGAGTAGGGCGCTGGCCCCATATGCTGGAGGTGGTGGGTTCAAACCCAGCCCTGGCCAAAAACTGCAAAAAGAAAAAAAAAAGAAATAGAATTTTTGATTCTGTAGTACGCAGCGTTGCCTATATGGCACATTACTTTGGCCCTTTGAGTTATGACTCTAAAGCACTGAAATGTTAGAAATAATGTCTTCAGCTGCTGGTTACAACAATTTCCAAAATATGGGTTCATTCGTCTTACATATAATTAATCCACAAGTCAGTGGTTGCTAGCACTGATGATTCCATAGCTCAAAACATCAAAATTTTACCCGAGGAGGGAAAAAAAAATTTTTTTAACCGGAACCAGTATTTGTGTGATTCTCTTGATTTTTTGTTTTTCCTGGCTATAGATTGCTATTGCAGCTCCAACTTCAAAAATCACCTTGACATATGAGGCTAGAGAAAAGGCAAGAGGCAGGGCCATGCCCACAGACTCATGAGCTCTGTGTTGGGGAGTCTGGGGGAAAGAGTATTTGGGATTCAACCATCTATAGTGGGAGGTAACGGTGATTCTGAGTTGTCAATAGACCATTATGAGCAGGACTCATGTTGTAATGTTGGTGCAATGCGTATACATAGGTTCATTTTAAAGATTGGTGAGTTATATGCAGTAATTATACTAATATGATAAAATGTCCTATTTTAGGTCTCTGCTACATCTATCTTAGATAAGTGCAAATTAGGCCAGGCATAATTTGTGTAGTACTTGCATCTACAATCCTAACAATTTAAGAGACTGAGGTGGAAGAACCACTTGAGCCCTGAAATTCGAAATCAGGCTGGGCAACATAGCAAGACCCCATCTTTACACAGAAAATAATAAAATAAAACAAAATAAGCTGGGGAAGGTGGCATGCACCTATAGCACCAGCTACTCAGGAGGCTGAGGCAAGAGGCCTTTGAGCCCAGAAGTTCAAGGTTGCAATGAGCTATGACTGTATCGCTACACTCTGGCCTGGACAACAGAGCAAGACCTTGTCTCCAAAAAGAAAAAGAAAGGAAATCACAAATTAGACATGTTGGATATCTTAGGACTGAATAATTAAAAGGAGCTTCTAAGTTTATGAAAATCCTGTGCCTTGTCGTCACCGTATAGACAGGTAGTATCATTCAGTCACCACACAACAGCTGCCCCTTCAATATGGCTAGTTTTTCTCCATCTTTAAGCATAAATTGAGATGCTTAGATGCCATCCAAACCATCTCTCTGGTATTGTGGTTCCTACCTTTTGCAAGAAAGGAAACCAAATTAATTAACAAACCGAAAGAAAAAAAGCATCTGGTTTCCCCACAAGGCAAAGTTGCAAGTCTAAAACTTCAGTTTTGATTTTGAAAACAGTAGTTTGAGGACTGTCTTAAACTCTGTCAGAGTCAGGAGAACATAAGGTTTTCCTTGCCTCATTAGGCTCAAGTGTCATAATCTAATAAATAAATTCCTTCACTCTCTTGCTCTGTGCTTCTAAATGTATAATACTAATAAGAGTTACTAGGGCAGCGCCTGTGGCTCAGTGGGTAGGGTGCCGGCCCCATATACCGAGGGTGGCAGGTTCGAACTCGCCCCAGCCAAAATGCAACAAAAAAATAGCCAGGCGTTGTGGTGGGTGCCTGTAGTCCCAGCTACCCAGGAGGCTGAGGCAAGAGAATGACCTAAGCCCAAGAGCTGGAGGTTGCTGTGAGCTGTGACACCACAGCACTCTAAGAGGGTGACAAGTGAGACTCTATCTCCAAAAAAAAAAAAAGAGTTACTATATACTGGTAATGTTCTGTGTGCCCTTCAAAATATCTAAAATCACACTGACTGAACAAAATAAGTTTCTCAGTGTGTCTTGACAAGACTCTTAAATGCTCACTTTCAGGTGGTGCTGGTAGCTCAAAGGGGTAGGGCACCAGCCCCATATGCCGGAGGTGGTAGGTTCAAACCCAGACCTGGCCAAAAAAACTGCAAAAAAAAAAATTATACTTGCTTTTCCTTTAAAAGCACCTGTTTTCTCCCAAACAACCAACAGCAAAATTATAAAGGTTGCTACCTTTCTTCTCTATTCACTATCTCTAATGAGCAATGCTATGAAGTCACTGGAGAAGGAACTCTCTTTTCCAAGCGCTGTACTTACCTCATGTATTTATATCGCTTCTTCCAGGGAAGTCATTTGGCTGAGCAAACTGGCTGAGACTGGGCATAATGGTAACAGCAGCAGTGGCAAAGTAGTAATACATATGTTATATTAAAATTGTTAATGACAAAACAGCACATCAGTAGCTTAAACATTTTTATTTATAGTTTTCAAAGTTTCAATTTTCTTCATTGCAGAAGTGGAAACATCAACACATGTTAGTTAACCAGCTGCAAATCACCAAAGAGACCGTTGTCCATAACTACCATTAAAATGGAAGAACCGGCTTGGCCCCTGTGGCTCAAGTGGCTAAGGCACCAGCCACATACACTTAAGGTGGTGGGTTCAGTTCCAGCCTGGGCCAACCAAACAATGATGGTTGTAACCAAAAAACAGCCAGTCATTGTAGTGGGCACCTGTGGTCCTAGCTACTTGGGAAGCTGAGGCAGGAGACTTGCTTGAGCACAGGAGTTGGAGGTTGCTCTGAGCTGTGATGTCACAGCACTCTACCCAGGGGGACAGCTTGAGGCTCTGTCTCATTAAAAAATAAATAAATAAATAAGGAAGAACCACCAGGAAATACACCCATTCTCTGACAGTGCATGGGGGCTTCCGTTGCTTCATTTTCCTTCTTACATTAGGTGGCTATGACAGCATGGGGAGGGGGGACACACACGTCCTTAAAAGAAACTGTTTCTCTGGTTGTATTTTTAGAGTTCCAAGCTGAAAAGTTATCAGAAAAGAGACGTGAAGCTTGGTGGCCTCGGACCTGACTTCGAGTCTATCAGAGACAAAGTGAGTGAAATGTATACACAGTGTCTCCGGTCTTGACTTGGCCCTTCTGTTTTAGTAAGCTGTATAAGGAGGCAGCCCCAGAATTAGGCTCTCATCCAAATGTCTCACTCTGAATAGAGACTCTTCTGAAATAGCATTGGCGATAGAGACCCAGACACTCCTTTCACCATAAAATAAAAATACTTAGCCCATGCTGTTACACGTACCCATCTTTGAGTGAGTAGTTTTGAAGGCCTGTCCAGGAAAAGAGATGTGTCTGTTATGTGGTTGTCAGTCTTTCCTGATAGAGTTATCTTGATAATTTTGAAGAGTGGCTACAGAGGAGACACTTAGGGTAAGAGTTTTTCAACCCCTGAAAAGTGCACCCACTTTATTCTCTTTCCTCTAGTGAAAGGGGATCTTCATTTAATGTGTTTTAACTGCAGTTGCACTCAAGGCATAAAAAGAGAGTACGGTTCAAAGTTGGAAGCAAAAATGAAAATAAATTGGGTAAATGCAACAAAGAAGGGGCTGAATGTGACTTAGCCACTGTTAAGGGAACACCGGGCCTGCCATGGCAGTGATGTTCCTCCTCTCAGGGACTGTTTTCAGGAGAAACATTAAGTTAACCATTTCGCTGCTGCCGCCTTACGCAGGGTAGGCCCCATTTCCCCTGTGCTGCTGATACAAGCTAACCAACTCTCTCAAATCAGACTTTAGAGAGCAGAAAAAACTAATATGACCCGTCACTCATCCCAACTTTGATTCTCTGAACAGATGCAAAAACTAATACAGCAAAAAGAGTACGCAAAACAAGTGAAAGAATACAACATGAAGACACTCTCTGTCCTGTCAAAACCGCAAACAGCAAAAACTGAAAGTAAATCTTCCATCCCTCGGCAGAAGGTAATGGATAATCACGCTGTGATTGATGGATCGTTTATATCTTTATTACGTATATCTCTATTTACATTTCCAGTATCATTTACATTTTCAATCAGAATTAAAATAAAATTTCATTAGCTCTTACAAAATAATTTCCCCACATTTGGGGAACACAGATGGTTTAGCTACTACCATTCCCGAGGCCACCATCACTCACAGACAGTGTCGCAGTCAGGACACACACCGGCTGTAAGGTTGGCCTCTCTGTTTCCCCCTGAAGTTCACTGTCTCCACATCTTTTCTTCCACGTATGGTAGCTTAAGTTTGTCGCCCAGAAAAATTCAACAAGGTAGTTTCTTAGAAGAAACTAGCAATCCCCATTAACCCTCAGTTTCATTCAGTGTCATCAAATAAATTCTTAAGGAAACTGCCGTCGTTTTGCTGTTTCTGTGTCAAAGAAAAGACCTGGATCGTTTCTTTCAAGTCCATTGCCCTACACTTTTCCATAGGGCTCATAATGCATAGGTTCTTCTATTGAAGAAAAATGATTTCAAGAAATACAGAATGTTCTCCCTCTCAGATGTCACCCAGCCATCAGTGTGGGGACACAGGGCTTCACAATGCGAGTCTCTGCCTCTATTGATCGCTCCAGTCCCAGGAAGGACAGGGACCCTCTGCAGGAGGAACAAGTGATCCTTTGGTGCCTCTAGGAATTTGTACTTCATGTTCCTTTTCACGGACCATCATGTTTTCTATTTATTACCTTTCATCCTCAGACCTTGAGGACCTCAATTCGCTTGATTGAGTTTCCATGATGCCACTTTTTCTTTTGTCTCCGGTCCATTATTTTTTCATGAAGAGCTTCAAGGCAACAAATCTATAATTAAAAATTCCTGTAGAACCGTTTGAGATGTTTTTCTTCCCCTTCCAGGACCTAAAATATGATATCCATTCTCCATTTCCGCCATCAATCAACTCTTATTTAAATATAAAATGAATATAAAAACAAATTTAGAAATTAATAATCTCATTTTCATGGTAATGCCTTTCAGAAATGACATCACTGGGGAAAAAAAGCCTTCCTTTTTTCAGCATCTAAGTTTCTAGAGATATAATAAAGAAAGAAAAAAATTCAACCTCTAATGCTTTCTCCAGCCTAGGAACAAGAATAGCCAGTGGAATAATTGGGGCTCAATTTGTATCAACTACAGTGATGTCCTTGGTCTCAAGCTATAACGAGTCCTCTTTGGATAGGGAGGTCTGTTAGTATCTCCTTAATAAATGTTTGAGTTTAATAAAAACTGCCAAAAATTAAATAAATTAAACACACAAGAAATCTATTTCCAAACACTTGAATGAGACTCGATTTTATAAAGAAAACATTCAGAAGACACTGCATGCATTGACCTTCAACGCTTTTCTTCCCCCTCCCCCCGCCCCAGCTATATTAGTTCATGGCCAATTTATTTTGTTTAAACTGTGCATTACATTGCATTTTTCATTTGAACTTCATTTTCACCTGTAGTTTCAGTGAGCTTTTGCGGCAGTAGTCTCCATTTATACATCATTAATAAACATGTCTTAAGACCAGATTTAATTTAAGGAACCTAGGCTCATTTCCTGTGTGAAATAAAATGTCATCTTTCTGCTTTTAGGCTTTGGAATATGCTAAGACCATCCCCAAACCCAAACCAGCCAATCTGACTGATCAAGCGTCAAAGGAAAAAAAAAATCCAACCTACGCCGCCGGCAAAGAGGAAAGTTTACCTGAAATCTCACTGCTGGAATTACTGCAGAGCAGACACGAAAGGGAAAAACAGGCTGTGGCTGCTTTCAAAGTCCTTCACATCGTATAGACAACGTTAGGTAGGAGACGCCAAGCGCTCCCGGAAGGGACGGGGAGAGCGGAATCTCCACCCCACCTGTCGGCCCTGGGAGTGACGGTCTAGCGTGCCCCTTACCGTCATCCAACAATATCGCCCACGTCTGCTTTCCGCAAGACTTAAAATAGGGGTCCGATCAGATTTTAGTGCCATATTTTACTTTCTAGGAAGCAAAAAAATTTTCAATGATTTAATTTCAAGTCCATTAGGATTGGGGCTGAATAAGAACCAGGGAATAATAAAGCCTTTGGTTTCATATTGGATCTTTTGATTTCTTAAAACTATCTCTACTCTCCCTTAGTGTAATGAAAATCTTGAAGTTACCCAGAAGTGAACTTACCTACTTGTCTTTCTCTTCTTAATAGGGAAATAAAATATAAACACTTCAGTTTCTCCTCAAACGAACTCAATTGGGCTATTCACAAGTAAATTTTGAGATAACACTTCAAAAAATGACGGAAATATCCAAGTCTAGCGAAGGGTTTCCATACAAAATTGAATAAAATGGAGTTAATCTAGATGAAACCACTCAAATAGAACAAATTCCATTATTGTTCTAACAGACCATCAAGACATTAATTAGAAATCTTACGAGTCCAGAAATTCCCAACTTAGGCAAATTTGAGAGACATTATCAAAGCTACTTCCTCCAAGTGTATAAATTTGCTGAGCCTCTTGCCATCATAAACATCTTAAAATATTGTCAAATGTGTGTTTTCACACGAAAAATAATGTTAGATAAGACAGGTGCGGTGGCTCACACCTATAATCTCAGCACTTTGGGATCCGGAAGCAGGAGGATCACTTGAGCTCAGGTGTTCGAGACCAGCCTGAGCAAGAGCAAGACCCCATCTCTACCAGAAATAGAAAAACTAACCAGGCATGGTGGTGGGCACCTATAGTCCCAGCTACTTGTTAAGCTGAGCCAGTAAAATCCCTTTAGCCCAGGAATTTGAGGTTGTCGTGAGCTTGGCTGATGCTACCGCCCTTTAGCCTGGGCAACAGAGTGACACCCTGTCTCAAGAAAATATTATTGGACAGCACCTGTGGCTCATATACCCCTATATACCAAGGATGGTGGGTTCGAACCCAGTCCCGGACAAACTGTAACAAAAAAATAGACAGGCGTGTGGTGAGTGCCTATAGTCCCAGCTACTCAGGAGGCTTGCCTAAGCCCAAGAGCTGGAGGTTGCTGTGAGCTGTGATGTCATAGCACTCTACCGAGGGTGACAAAGTGAAACTCTGTCTCTAAAAAAAAAAATTATTAATAGTAATAACATTATTAGATAAGACAAAAGTATTCTGTAGTTTACTCCTGATTGTGAATATTAATATTGTTTAATCTTTTGAAACACTGTAAAAGTTCCTAGTCTTATAATAATTCCTGGAGGATTTAATTTTTACTTCCTCTGTTTATATTAGATGGCCTTTGCATTCTGAGGCAGGCATACCTAGAAATGGATAATTTTAACACCCATTAGGGACAAGTCTGTTTATCTACACATGTGGCATAAGGACTTGCTTTGGGGATTTAATCCCTTGTATACATTTTACATATACCATGATGGGGTACATGTATAAAAAGCTACATATATACAACTTTCTCTTCAAACTGAGAGCAGTCAGAATCAGGAATCTGGACAGATAACAAGTATCTGAGAATAAACAGAAAACTGGCAAATCATGTTTCAGGGGTATTTGGAAAAAACATATGAGCCATTAATTAAAAAAAAAAAATCACAGGCCACACTGCCCTAAAATACAGTATTTATTAAAAAATTAGGCCTTTTGGGGGCACATAGTGAAGACATTTTTAGAAAAATGAGATAGAGCAAATAACTTCATTTCTTTTTTTTCTAAATTGCCTAAAATGTAAACTGCAGGGCACCTATAGAGAGACATTCTTGTGTTTTCATATGAAAGGAAAGGGGTAAAACTCTTAAATATTCCATCTCTATTGGGGTATCTTAAAAGAATTTAGAGCTTTGAAAGAGTTTAGCATTTTTGCTGCCAATTTTTCAGAAAAGGAAATGGAAGTCAAGAAGAGGAAAGTGAGTCTGAAGTCCGTCAGCCCCACTGAGAGGAAGGGGAGAGTAGCCAGATTGGAATCCCCTGCCTTTCAACACCAAGAATAGGATTGTTTGAGTACGTCTAGTGAAGGAGGTTGTCCTTGTTTCTTTGTGTGGGCAAGGAGCATGTGGTTGCTCTGAATTTCAGTTTTGAACCTGAATTTCCATCCAGTTCAACTTTTAGAACGATGCATTACTGTGCACCTAACAATTTTTCAGCAGGTACAAGCTGGCAACTTTCCTATTACATTGATAAAGTTGTAATAGACAAAGCAACTGAAACTTAGACACTGACCAATGAAAGACACACCATTTATTTTCTTTTTCTGGAGTATTTCAAAAACTTTGCAACTGTTTCTCTGTTAGGGTACTGTCAAGAGCCCAGACGTAAATGAAGCAGGTAAGGGTTAAGTGACAAGCCCAAGGCAGGTCCTCACCATCCAGTAAATAGGAAACTAGAACATCAAAATTCTTTATATAGTGCCAGCTGGTAGCCAAAGTGTCTTGGGCTAAAGAAATAAAGCACATTTGCTTTATTTGGTGCTTGAATCAAAATGGCCCTTCATGGCCAGGCATAGTGTTTCATGCCTATAATCCCAGCACTCTGGGAGGCGGAGGCAGGTGGATCACTTGAGCTCAGGAGTTCGAGACCAGCCTGAGCCAAGAGCAAGACCCCCATCTCTACCAAAAATAGCATAATCAGCCAGGTGTTGTGGTGGGTGCCCACAGTCCCAGCTACTCAAGAGGCTGAGGCAAGAGTATATTTGAACCCAAGAGTTTAATGTGGCTGTGAGCTATGATGATGCCATGGCACTCTTCCCAGGGCAACAAAGACACACAATGGTAGGCCCCAACAGAATGTCACTCACCTACCGTGATACCGTGACAGGTAGAGATGCTGCAGGAACAGTGAACGACGAACACTTTTTTCATACTAATGACAATATCGATCTTCTATAGGTCCAAGTGAGTCAGTGATTGATTTTATAGCATTTCTGTTTCAAATGCCCAAAAAGTAAAAACAATCTGCCTATTAGAAAACAAGGAATTTCATATTTGAATGATGTCATGACGCACGACGTGCATTTGACCAGATGTTATTGATATATATACATATATATATATGCCTTTGAAAGGCAGACTACCTAAGCTGCCCAATCCCCACGAGCTGATGCAAATAAAGGACCTTTAAACCACACATTCTCTTTCATTACAGTCTTTTTCATTGTGTTTTTCCATCTCGAGTTTCCAAGAAGAGCATCCTCTTCAAGGGAGCTTTTTCACAAGTAGCTGAATTTAATGACAGCTGTCTTCAGGATATTGTTGTGTATAGCAGGGATTCTCTTGGGGGTTATCCAGAAACCAAGTCAAGAAAAGACAATATTGAGAAACAAAATAAAAGGTAAGCCTAGCAAAGGCACTGAAGCCTAATGGTTCCAATTGGGGCCTTATTATTGGTTAATGAATCATTGTCAAAACATCACAGCAAGCAGGAACGTGCACAGTCTAGTCTATAGTGAGAAAATGACTCTTCATCTCAACAGTTATTAACTGGGAGTTGTTTGAAAACACGTCCAGTAATTATAACAACACAGGAGCTAATTGAGAACTTTGAGTTGATAGCAAATGGCTTACAATAGACTAGATCAACTCGGGGGGATTCTTTTTTAATTACTTATTGAAAACTAGCAGAAAATGAATTGAAATGTAGCTAATTCTCTGCCAAGATGTGCTGCAAAACATACGTATTACCATCCTATTAGAAGTAACATTTACAAATGTAAAGTTCTGAAGGAAAAATCAGGGTTGCAGTCCTGAATAGGCCTTTTTTTTTTTCTTTTTAAGATTACCTTTTCCTATTAGAGTACTAATAAGACTTGAATAATACATGTTTCACCCAGCTGCCAAGTATTCACAGGATGACAACCGGACTTCTCCTCCCTAATGCTAACCACGTTTTCATAATTTCTATTCCCAATGGGTAAAAACAGAGAGACAGAAAGATACAGAAACACTCCACTTGCGCTTTCGTTGTTTTCTCAGTAAGGAAAGGATTTAAAATGGTAGAACCAAGAGGGATTTTAGAATTACTGTGGATTTCATTTACCCATCGTGCTTGCTCTCCTTATATCAGCAATTTTAGGGAATTGTCTGTGTTGTCAGACAAAATAATACCTTTATAATAAAGGCGAGATAAAGGTAAGATCTGTATTCTAATAATATTATGTTTAAATATTTATTCCACTTTTTAAAAGATACTGAAGTATGGTCTCAGAGTAGCTGAAAATCTGATACAACTATCTACTCACCCCTGCCTTCTAGACTAATAATTGGTTTCTACTCTTTCTGTAGCTTCATTAAAGCAAAACCTCACATCTTTCTCACCAGGGTCAGATAAAACATAGTCTCCCAATTTCCTAAGCAAATTTACCCAGCCAGTGAAAAGCAAAAGGTTTTGGACGGCAGCCTTTTCCGCCATTTATACGTTCATTCATTCATCTCCCTCAATTACTCCCCAGTCTGAAATATTCCTGGTTTTCATGTATGGTTACCTGATTTGGGTTCAGTAAAATAACCAGGAAGTTGAGACCTTTCCAAAATCTTATGAAAACAACACATCGCAAGATAACAATACGAGGCCACATGAATAGAGTTTCCAGCTCTCTCTACCCCTCCATACAGGGGCTCCTTGGAAAATATCAAGAGAGGATGAAAGAATTTGGTGGACAGGATTTATCTCCCTTGCTGCCTCTCCACTGTCTTTTCATTTCCCCCTTGCAAACCTGGGTAATGCAAGTAATTAATTTTCAATAAGCTGAGTAAATGGTCTTCCGCTATTAAATAGCTCTAACAGGTTGAGAGGATTACAATGATGTGAGCATTCCAGGCAACTTTATTTAGCGAAGCCTTGGACATATCTGATACAATGTTGTAAATACCCTTTACTGAACTGGCTGCTCTTGGAGACCAGCCCCAATCCTGGGATTGCCAAACTGGCTTCTCAGAGTTCCCTCTGTCACGAAGGTCTCGAGCCTTTGCGAGAGATATTTAGGTAATAGGGATTCTAGGGTGCAAATTTGACACCGGGGGAAATAACTGTCCAAAATTTCAAATGCAGAAACTATGACCA